CAAAGATACAAGAGAGCAGGAGCTGTATTTGTTGTGTTTACCTCTATATCTGGAGGGATACAACCTGGCTTAGGGGAAGTCTATTTTACTTCTAACTTGAATATAATACTGATGGGTAAATGAATGGTACCATCAATTGTTTAATCAGATTGCACATTCAGCCTTGGTTTTCTTTTTTAAAGACAAAACTAATACCAGAAGTTTTCTATAGAAAGAATTTAATGAACAAAGAAAATAATAAATTGACTAAATACAAAGAATGTATTTTTTCTCTGAAACTACAGTGTAAATGTGCACATAATATTATATGAACAAAAATAATTGTAATCTTTATAAATAGTTAAATAAATAAATATTTAAATAGATAAATAGATCGATCAGCATGGGCATCTGTGAGGAACGAGTGCCTGTAGAGTAGAACATCATGTTGCTTAATATTCCTGAAAACACTTGACAAATTAATTCAATTCAGGGCATGATGAGAGCAGAAATGAGAGTCTTTGACATGGCAGCACAGGTGGAAGTGTGGTCTTGTTAGTCAGTGAGAATCATTTCCGTGTTGAACCAGGTGTGTGTCATTCCTTCCTCCTGAGTCTTTCTGGCAAGTTTGTTGAAGAGAAGGATCTCATGACTTCTGCTCTGACAATCTCCCAGGCACAAGGGCTGTATTTCTTCTCTTGCAGATAGACAGTGATTCTGTGGAAGTATTTCCTCACAGCCAGGATGGAGTCCTCCTTCAGCAGGGGAGTCCCTTCCAGCCCCGCCTCCTGCATCAGACAGGCTTGCAGGTCAGTGAGCTGCTGATAAAGTGCAGTGCAGAACTTGTCCAGGAGGGGCTCATCCCAAGCGGCAGCCGAGCCCTCTGTGCTGAAGAGCTGGAAGGTCTGCTGGATCATCTCGTGGACGACAGCCATGGCTTGAGCCTTCTGGAACTGGTTGCCACCAAACGCCTCCTGGGGGAATCCAAAGTCATTTCTGTCCTTCAGGCAGGAGAAGGGGGAGATTCTCCTCATTTGTTGCAGGAGCATCAGGGCCCTCGTGTTAGCCAGGCTGTGGGTCTGAGGCAGGTCGCAGCCCAGAGAGCAGTTGCAGTTGCAGCTGAGCAGCACCAGGGCCAGGAGTAAGGACACGGTTGGGGCCATCGGGGACCCTGCAGATGCTGCCGGCCTGGCTGAGGTGGGGACTCTGTGAACCCTGCTCTCTAGGTTCTCTGAAGACCTTCCTTCAGGCCTGGGTCTTAAATGGGAACCCATTCGTTTCCATTTTCTAAATGTTAATTTCTACTTCTGTTTTTGATTTTCACTTTGCACTCTCCAAATGGGTTATGGCAACGTTTCTCAACCATTATTTTTTCCCTTATTGCCTCCTCTTCCCCTGCCCACAGAGCCTTCTTAGATAACTTTTTCCTAATTGCCCCTCCATGAAAGTTTGAAAACACATATGTACTGAATATTTATATACTCCATGAATATCTGCATACATAGAAAAAGAAAGTGAAAATTTTACTGTTTTTATTCAATGCAGGGTTAAGAATGAAAAAAATTTGAGCTAAACATTATATTTAAAAGTTATTGAGAACTAGGGACTTCCCTGGTGGTCTAGTGTTTAAGAATCCTTGCTTCCACTGCAGGGGGCACGGGTTTGATCCCTGGTCGGGGAACTAAGATCCCACATGCTACGCAGTGTGGCCAGAAAGAAAAAGTAAAAAGTTATTGACAACTAATTTAACTTTATAACTAAGTTTGCAGAGTAACTTTTTTTTTATTCAAAAGATATATTTGAACAAGCTTACTGATTTTCTAAATTAAGCTCTATATTATAAACATTTTCTCATGCCATTAAAAATTACTCAGGGACTTCCCTGGTGGTGCAGTGGTTAAGAATCTGCCTGCCAATGCAGGGACACGGGTTCGAGCCCTGGTCTGAGAAGATCCCACATGCCGCGGAGCAGCTAAGCCTGTGTGCCACAACTACTGAGCCTGCGCTCTGGAGCCCATGAGCCACAACTACTGAACCCCGTGCGCCTAGAACCCATGCTCTGCAACAAGAGAAACCACTGCAATGAGAAGCCCGGGCACAACAAAGAGTAACCCCCGCTCGCCACAACTAGAGAAAGCCCACACGCAGCAACAAAGACCCAATGCAGCCATAAATAAATAAATAAATAAATAAATAAATAAATTTTTAAAAGAAAGACAGATTTAGATAAAAGACAACTTAAAAATAAAAAAGAATCCGCCTGCCAATTCAGGAGACACGAGTTCGAGCCCTGGTCCAGGAAGATCCCACATGCTGCAGAACAACTAAGCCCGTGCGCCACAACTACTGAGCCTGTGCTCTAGAGCCTGTGAGCCACAACTACTGAGCCTGTATGCCACAACTACTGAAGCCCGCATGCCTAGAGCCCGTGCTCCACAACAAGAGAAGCCACCGCACCACAACGAAAAGTAGCCCCCGCTCGCCACAACTAGAGAAAGCCCGTGCACAGCAACGAAGATCCAATGCAGCCAAAAATAAATAAATAAACTTAAAAATATTACTCAAATAGAACATCTACAATGACTGTATAATGTTCTAGTCTATGGATGAAGCCTTGTTTAACATTTTACTTTTTTTAGATTAAGAATATTTCAAAATTTCACAATTACCAATCATATTGGGAGAATGTCCTTGGGCATAAAATTGTACCCGATTTGACAAAGTATAATTACGAAATCAAAAGACATCACCTTTTTTAAAGTTCTTGAGACCTAAAACTAATTTGTTTTCCAGGGAGTTGCTGAAATTTATGCTAGGACTGTGGTAATGTCCATTTTATTGCTCACTTGCTAATTTTTTTTCCAGTTCAATAAAAATTTGATACTGGTTTTATTTTGCATTTGTATAGGGTATTTGATATAGAGTGAAATTTACCTAATTATGCAGAGTAACTTTTAATGTAATATATTTACTTATATAAATAGTAATGTATCAAATTATAATTTCAAATAAAAATTTATATAAGTATTTCATAATAGTACCAATGTATGGATATATTTTAAATAAAATCGTCAGAACTGCTGAAACCACTGAAAATTTAAATTATTTACTTAGCATTTATTTTTAGGTAATTAACTATTAATTTTTATTCATATCATAAAATTTTTAACTTCACTAGCTGCTAGGTATTCATCTAGATATTGTCAACAGTTTTCTGTTTAGAACTAGGCATAATTAGTGACGTGCTAAATAACTTTAGTAGAATTAAATAATAAAATATAACCTATTCGTGCTTAATTCCCAAAGCCCAAATCACACCAAGGCTCAAACATAAGCAACATCTGCAAGACAGCCAATGGCAGCTCATAAGTAAGTAAAGGACACTTCTCACATTATGACTTTGAGATCAAGCAAATGATGGTGAGAAAGTTCTGTAATGAACAGTTAAGTCACCATAGGTTGTAGCACTGATCCTGCATAACATTTGTTTATATTCCATGAACTCAGTGTCAATGCTTCTCACATCATATACAAGAAAACCTGAAGAGCAAAATGAATACAAAGGAATAAGACTTTGTTGGATAAGGTTGACCTTTGAACACCAAAGCCATTATAATGGCTGAGATTTGTTCATACCCCAGAAAACTAATGTTTGCACCCATGGGAGCATCCCCAATGACAATGCATAATTTAGGCAGCATCAAAAATTGAATTGTCATGATGTGGTTCGAGATTCTCCCTGGGATTGCAGTCATGGCCGCGTGCTTGTTCATCCCGGGAATGGCCACTGCACGCATCCACAGGTTCACTAACGGGGGCAAGGAAAAAAGGGTTGCCCATTATTCATATCAGTGGAATTTCATGGAAAGAAATAGGCGCATCTCTGCAGTTAATCGTTACTATGTGTCAAAGGGTTTGGAGAACATTGATTAAGGAAGCATTTTCCTGATTGATGAAAAATAACTCAGTTATGCTTGTCTACCCCTGCTAGAGGTTATGCAGTGTATTGTGTAGCATGCAGTATATTTTGTAGTGTGTAATAAAAATAAAACAAAAAAGTAAAAAAGAAATTGAATCATTCTCCATATTTTTTCATTAATGTTCAAATTTCCCTAAGGACCTCCAGAAGTGCCAATCCAAGTCTGTTCTTTTAAATGGAATGAATACATGTTTGTATTTGACTCATAACTGGATAAATATTGATTATTATCATGGAAAGAATTAACTTTCATCTCCCATCTTGAATTCTTTTATTTTGCATAGGAAGTCATGTGGCCTCAGCCCTCTACATTCCTG